GGCTGCAGTTTCAGGAGAGGCGCTAATCTTTCAGCAGGGATGTTTGTTTGTGTGCACAGATTAGCATAAACCAATTGGACTGAGACGACTTTACTAAATACCTGCGGAGGATGAGGAGAGCCCACCTGCCCCTACCCATCCTCCCCACCTTCTACAGAAGCACCATAGAGAGCGTTCTGACCAGCTGTCTCACTGTGTGGTGTGGAGGCTGCAGCGCCTCAGACTGGAAGAAGGTGAGAAGAGTGGAGAGGATCATGGCGGCTCTTCTTCCCTCCATTAAAGATTTCATCCTAGCACCGCGTGTCCAGAGCCCGTGATATCATCAATGACCCCTCAAACCCCACCATGGACTTATCTCCCTGCTGCTCTCTGGGAAGAGGCTTCACAGCATTCAACGAAGGTTCTGCAACAGCTTCTTCCCCACCGCCATCAGACTGACGAACGTTTGGTAAAATGGGTTATTTTATTATATTTTATCATTATGTAAAACTAAAATGAAAATGTTAGAACTGTAAATTTACAGCCATATGTTTATATTACTGTTTTATATATATATATATATATATATATTTTTTTTTTTTTTACTATTTTTCAAGGCTGCACTTTTAAAAAAGATGAAATTGTCCAGAGAGCTGTTTCCAAATTTCTTTTTGTTTTACACTTGCAAACAAATTGACAAATAAATCTGTCTAAGTCATGTCACTCGGCTAAAAGAAAGACATTGATTACTATCATTGCATCAGTCTGATTACATAAACTCATTCAGTTTCTCTCTCATATCTTCCAGTTTTATTGGAACGCAGTAAAATGTGGGTTATGAACTCTGCAGCAACCTCCTTATACTCAGCATGCACGTGGCGACCATGGGAAGAAGCCACTCCCCTTTAAGGAGATGAAACCTGCAGCTCAGGGTGAGATGAGGCAGACTGGGTTGGAAAAATCAGCTTTGGTTTATTATGACATTTTATATGAAAAGCATTGGATGAAAGAATTTTTAAAGATATCATTTTGTTAATGTATTTACTCTTTACGAAAACTGAGGATTAGTTAATTTGAAATAAATAAACATGTCTACAAATCATGAACAACATTATTGTTTGAATATAAGCTGCTGATATCAGCTCCAATAAATATGCGTTTCCCTAAAACCAAATACTGAGTACCATCAGGCAATACTAGGCAGCTGCTTATGGCCCCAAGTTCCTGGGGGCCCCACAAAACTGTTTCCATGTATGGTTAATACAATTATTCCTTATTTGTGCACATTAATTATGTTTTTGATAAAAATCTTTTTGCTAA